TACATCAGCCTGTCCTGATGGCACCACCTGCTGTAAAACCCAAGAAGGTGGCTGGGCCTGCTGTCCAATGCCAGAGGTACAGTATTACCATCTATTAATTTGTCTTGATGCATGCCTAATCATGCAGGTACCGTCAAGTGGTCTTAAATGTACACCCTGTTGATGTATCTTCGGTACACTATACAGACTTGGTGTAGATTCCTCAGGCATAGCCTGTGGCATGAAGTCCGGTCAATAGTATTGCCTTGTTGTAACTGCTTCAGACAATCTATCACCCTCGTAATGGGAAGGGGGCTAAGGAAAGCTCCAGCCAATCCAGGAGAGAAGGACAACTGGTTGCCTAAGCGAAAATCCTTAGTGATCCATTATGTGTCAGGAGGATCGTAACAGTTGAAACAAATTTTTTCTAAACGCCGCGTCTCTGTGGCTTTAAAACCCCAAAACACGGTGGACCAAAAATTGGCCCACCCCAAGGATCAGGTCCCCCGACACAAACAGAATAATTTAGTGTACACTGTTAGGTGACAGGAGGATTGTCATGATTTATACCATGGGGGAACCCAAACAACCTATGGCGAAACCGTTGGCACAACACAGAAGAGCTAACTCGTCAGGCCAGGACTCCACAGTCTATTTACACCTACAGGTCAATGGACACTCTTTCAGTGATGAGGATGTACACATCCTGGACAGTGAGGAACACTCGTTTAAGCGGGGATTCAAGGAGGCTATTTGGGTGAAAAGGGAAAGACCATCTCTGAATCGAGGGGGAGGTCTAAGGGTACATCTTTCACCATCGTACAATGCTGTGATTACAGCCTTCCCCAACTCTCTGTGACTGGAGTGGTTGTTAATCAATAGTCATGACAATTTGCATAGTAACGATCAAGGAACTGACCTCACAGCCCATTGTTCATTCAGTGGGCTAGTTTCAGACATTGTGCAAATGTACTGTTTATAAGGTTGGGGAAACCTGCAGTCAGCTGAGACCAAAGAAGTCACTTGGATGAGTGATGAAATGTTTCTCCCACTGAAAACGCTACGTCCAGATGAGCAGAATCAAACTTCTGGGGCATCTATTAATTCATTTCCCTAACTGCTTTACTTTGTCAGGCTTGAAGGGTAAAAGGCAGAGGAGGCGAAGACAGGGCATAAGCATACACCACAGCCTCGTCTGCCATTTATTTAACAGTTTCTCTTTAGCATTTCAGGTGTTTTTAGTATATTGACAGCTTTCTGTCTGTGCTGT